GAGAAAGGAGTCCGTCGTTGTAAAGAAAGAACCAGAATGACGGTTGAAAGTTGTCTTCGACGCGTAATGACGGCAAGAAATCAAGAAATTTCAAAAATGTCTATGTTCTTGGACGGTATTGGTGTCTGAGTAGATGTGAAGATGAACAAAAGGAGGTTGGCAGGCGTCGTTAGACAAACTCTTGACTCCGGCCCTCCAGTTTCTCGTGCGGATACATATACATAGGTGTCGTCGAGCAGGAAGTCAACATTTGCAATATGGATGAACAAGGTGGAAGGTCTGCATTAAGAAAGGAATTGTTCCTTCTAAGATAGAATACCCGGTTGCCTTATAGCAAAAGTGCTGAAAAGCTGCGAACCAAACAGCTTGTGTTAACAGAAATAGCTCAAATTGACGGTCGCAGCAAAGAACAGTAATGTAACAATTTCATTATTAGAAAATTTTTCGACCGGCAACATCAACGTCACATATTTTAAGCACAGGAAGAATGCAAAGAGAACAACAAACACGTTAAGTACAGCTCCGTAATTCAAAAAGCGATCAAATCTAACTCTCCTACCTCTGTGGTGAAAGGCGGTTTGTACTGTTTTTCGAATTCAATGATGATTCGAAGGCAAATTATGGCGTTTTCTTCGTTTTCGATCTGAAATACGTTGAAATCAAGCCAGCGACGAGTTAAACCCGCTTCGAACCTGAACCAGCTTGAACATAAGAGGCAAGATCACTTTCGAATATGGTTTTAGTTGTTCACTGCAAGGCATTCGATAGAACATCTCCAATACCAACTTGCGCAGTTGCTAAAAACAACATCAGCACGTGTAGAGCAACATCTTTAAGCAACCTGTGTATTATTTTCGCCGATGAACTGCGGGTTGGTGTCTCGTAACAGATTTAGGAACGCCTTCACCAAATTTTCAAGTATGAGCGAGTAAGCCGGACTCGCAATGAGGCTCTAAAATGAATGCACGAATCCGGCAGACAAATGCTTACTACGTTTCCCTAAATTACCTCCAAGTTTTCGCTGATTTCCTGCAGCGTGTTCAGCTTCAGGTCATCACCTACAAAGCACATCATTTATACATGCAAACAATGCAATTTAAAAATGCTCACGTTGAGAAGGATCACCCAAAGTTCTAATCAGATCTTCCATGTGACTGGCCATTTCATGCACGCCTCTCGGATCCCTCCCCAACGTCAGCATCTTGCTAAAATCTATGAAATTCACTACACAGATCGGTTTCTCTTCTATTTCCCTCTAACGAACTTTTATACTCTACTGTACCTACCGAAGTCATGTTACCTGCTGCTCTCAGTTTTAATGCAACAGAACAGTAATTTTAATCGTCTTGAATTTTTTATTAAATTCTGTTTGGTTATTTTGTTTAATTAAGTGTCCCGCTTTGTTATTTACGACAGAAAGCAAACTATTCTTCCGCCGATTAGTAGGTGGATAGAGTAATTGGATCTTCTTTTCCTGTCTTTCTTAGTAATCACACTGATGTACTTTGCTCTTTGGGCACCCAGTCTGATATGTTCAGCTAAGCAGATTTTACTGTATACATTTGTATACTTATTCTGTTCCAATTTATGGTTTCTTTGTTACATTTGTGTTTGCTTCATGTGCTTTTCTGTTGTGAAATGATACTGTACCATTTTCATCAGCAGATGATTAGCAGGTTGCTTCTCACGAAGCTCTCCCAATACTCGGTAAGAGGGCTACCAAGCTTTCCCACGCAGACTTTCAGTAAGGTGTCATAAATGGGAATCTTGCGCGATGCTTAACATCGAAGAAGGTACGGTCGTGTGCTATAAAGTAAAAATCTTAATGAGTAGTGGGTGAAAGGAGGGGAACTACCACTGCAATTTTTATGATGCATTTAATTAATTAAAATTTGGTCTACACCCTGTATAATTTTTAATGGGTTCATGAAATCAAGACCAATTGCAAGAACAAAACGCAGACAAGATAGAATGGCTGTATGGCTTACATGCTTTGGTATGGCTACCAAAAAACCCCGCGTTGCCCCTATCATTCGTACGTCAGAGACTTTGCATCTGTTTTTCGATTCGTTGCACAAAGGCAGTGAGCTGGATTGTTGCTAAATGGAATTCGCAATTAATAGGAAAAACGATATACGCGTGGTTTCAACCTGACGCATCTAAATTGCAACATAATCTCCTATTCTATTACTCTACTCCAGCATTATGCGAATATTCAACTTTCTTCAGGTAGAATACAATGTCAGTACAACATGCTATTCCCTTGCTTTACCAAACAAGTAGTAATAACTGTTTTCGCTTTTTAGACGTCGTTCCTTTAATGTAATCTTGAATTTATTTCATGGTTTCCTTCGAATATTAGCACCTGCTACCAAAAAAGGTAGCTGCAATGCAAGGGCGGAAAATCATTAAAATCAATTCAAAAGCCAGTAGAGTTGCAGACTAACGGTTAACCGATGAGAGTTGCAGCTGTTACTGTCCCATAAGAACGGAACATAACATTTTGAGATTTCAAAGTATAGCAGTTACTAAATTAGAAGAGACGTTTTCAGCGCGTGAAATACACGTCCAGTTATTGATAAAAACTTCGCTCCAAATTTGCTCCCTATTTCGATAATTAAGTCTCAGAAATCATTAGATGATAAGATGAAACATCCACAAGGCAAAAGAGACCTCAAATTTTGCTATTCCTTATAACATTTTGTACGTAGTTCTTGTGTTCTTTTTGTCACTTATTGTCGCAGATAGTCGCTTAATTCCGTTAATGAAATATTTCCCTCTGTTCAGTGCAAGACTTAATATCAGTCATTTTACGATTCACAGATTAGGTTATCCTTGTGATCCTTCTTTGGGGAGCCGTAAGCCGGTTTCTGGAAAAGTTTTCATCTTCATAATCTTCAACTACATTAGCTTGTGATACAATAGACAGTTGCTCCACAGCTATCAGCTATAAGTCAAGTATAAGCATGAGATTTAAAAAAATAGATTTTAAAAAATATTGACCCAAAGTCACTTCCATGAAATGTGCTCTTTGTTCTTCACTGCAGCATTACGCTCGTCCGATGACGGGAACACCGAATACTTGTTTTTGAATTTTGTACAGATACTTACAAAATGTTTTTTTTGTAGTTTTATGTCTTGAAGCACAGTACGTGTTCCTTCGCCCGTATCGAGAGACGAAAACTTACCTTTGTTCGTGATCTTCTCCACTAGAGACTGGAATCACTTACACTGACACTCCTGATTATTTTGATTTCTCACAGAAACATGAAAAGTTCCGCTTTAATGAGGCCGGCGAAGACCACTGAACCAAAATGCGTGATTAGAATAATGCAAAAGTCGATTGGTTTCTTTAGAATATTCATTGGTTAGCGTGTGCTAGTCATCTGCCTGAGATAGTAGAAAGCGCTTTGTGCTTATATTGAATGCATTATCGAATACGAACGATGATGAATGTGTATTTCTGCTGCCTGATACAATGGACTGGCTGAAGATCCATAATGTAAATCGCTGCTATACTGGATTCCTCTAAGGAAAGTAAATGGGAATTTTTTACTACAGTACTTTGGTTGACTTCTTTGAGTGAGTGCGAGTCAGACTTCAGTTGCCAAGCTTTCTGCGCAGAAAGCGGGGCACTGATAATTATTGAAGTTAAGTTTATGTTTAACAGGAGAAGGTGAGTGTTGAATCTCCGGTCATTTCGCATAAATGACAGCACTAACAGGGAAAGAATCTGTGCATCTATTGAATGGCAATAATGGAATAACAGAGCTCTGCAACATACCCCTTGTTTTTGCCGAAACTATGCATCTTCCTTTTCCAACTGTCGGGTATGAAGTTTACTGCCTGTCGCAAAAGTACTCCATTTTTCAGCATATATAAAAATTGACGATTATTTCATGTTTGCGCGCAGCGAATGATTTACAGTTGTTTTGCACTGAGCATATGGATATACGACCTGCCTTTTTCGATACTGAGCGTCGCGTCAGATTCCCATTTCTGAAACCTCCCTGAAAGACTGTGGAGGAAGTTTCGTAGCAGTCATACTTGGTGTTGGGATAACTTCGCGGTTGTAATGCAGTAATTAACATCTGCTGATGAACACGGGAAACAGCATGGCATATTTCACGACTAAGAAAAGTACAATAAACTAGCCCAAAGATAGTTAAAGAACTTTAAGTTGTAAAAAAGTAATCATACAAATGTTATAAAAAATTACGCCAAATCTGAGCGTCCGAAATACAAAGTACACCAGACCGACTACCAGTGAAGACAGAGAAAACGTGGAACCGAGTACTCAACCTGTCTTCTAACCGACTACAATGTATGGTCTGCCTAAAAAATCTCATAGCCGCAACCGAAGTCTAGGATCTTGCTCGTCGCTGCATAGTTATTCTGACAGGAAAGAATGTTTAAAAGGTGGGACAAAAACTTGGAGCATTGCTTAGGCTGAAAATCCGCCAAGGCTCATAGTGCGACCAACTGTGTCGACCTAAAGCGTGATTGGTCAGTTGTTTATCGATCACATTTGTTTGCGAATTGCTGGTTTTCGGCGCCCCATATTGTCAGAGATATTTGTGCATAAAAAATGTTGGTTCTTCTCAACTATACGGTCATTCCACCGTTTCGTAATGAAACATTAAGCTGCAATATCTAATCTATTTTTCCTCATAATTTACACAAAGTGAGCATTTATTGAAAAAATGGGCCAAATCTAGCGTCTGGTGTACATAAAATAGTAGTTAATTTTAGAACTCATGCTTGAGATTTAGCACTTTTTTGCGGCGATGTCGAGGATATTGTTGCGTTTTTTTCCATTCATAGACCATTTATACCCAGCCAAACTTCTTCATTATGTAGAGTGATCAAAATGTTGCTTCGGGGCTGCAAATGTAATGTGAAGTTTACATTTCGTTGGTAAGAATTTGATAGTTTCACAGTAGATTTTGTAGTTTTAGGAAATTATTGCCATTTGGACTGTTAACACCCATGAGAGGCTAAACCAATCGAGAGATCCTACTTATCGTCTTATCATCATCCCTAATCCTACTGCATGCTGCAAAAACCGTTTGGTCATTTTACTGAGCGATCTGAATTGTCACCTGATGACTGAACTATTTTCCCATGGTCTGCCTGATTACATATCAGATGCATATATTATGTCCAACCAAGATAGCGACCCGCTTTTGGCTGTTGCGCGGTAGAATAATTTCCTCAAGCATGATCAAGATGTGCAGACATGCGACGACACACAAAGCTGGCGTCAGTTCAAATAAGTAAGGTATGTGATATCAGGAACGAAGAATTCTGCCCCAATGTCACGCATCTCTGTTTAGGCAATTCCAAATGTCACTTTTCTCACGCATTACACTGTACCCATTACCTCAGCAAATTTTGCTACCAGCCATTATTCTCCATAAAAAAGCTTAGAAATTGCAAGTGACTCCATTAACTTTGCGCTGTTAGGTGGCATATCAGCCTGAAATGCAAGCTTACGGGATTTGCCTTAATACAGCCATACATCAGTCACTATAATTTTCTCTCGGAAACCATCTCCTTTGACGTGGACTACTTGGCATTGGTGAAGCCATAAGCCTGTAACTTTTTATACCTTCTGTTGGTTTACATTCCATTCACAGTTATACGTAGAGATTTGTTGGTGGTTTCTTTCCAACGGTTGTTCTGAGTTCATTTTCATATACGTGCTTCATTGCTGTATTCTTCTTTACAGAAGCGTATTGGTTTGAACGTATTTACATAGGTAGGTTAAGGAAGCATATTAGTTGCAGAAATGTTTTGCATGCTCTAGTTCCCATGGATGCGAGAGACGTCTTAGGGAAGGAAATTAAGTCCGTTATTGATGTGATACCTAGCATATGATTGTCACCGATGCCGAGAGAACTTCGAGAAACTTCTAAGCCTCAAGCAAGCGCAGAGAAACTAATCTGAATAATGTAAGAGAATGAACATCAATCCTTCAGTGGATGAAGTCATGGAAGCTGTGAAATCCTTAAAATACGGCAGGGCTGCTGGAATCAATGAAATTCGCCCTGGTATGCTTAAACCCTAATGAAAACAAGTCATGATGTAGCAAACATGCGTTTGTGAAAGTGCATTAACTACAGAGAAGATACAAGTGTGATTGAGAACTTGTATAGTAGCAGCCCTGTCAAGAAGAGGAGCGATCATAGGGAATGCTAA